AGGCATTTTAAATTTAAGACCTATAGCTGCCCTGGTGCTTGAATAAACACTGGTAATATGTAGGTGTGTGCTAAATTATTGTGGTTAACAGTGCTACCTATTGTGGTTAACAGTCCTCCCACTGTTACAATACTGTGTATAATACAATAACCAATGAATATAATTATGGCTGCAAATTTCTACCCGGGCAAAGCCCGTGCTTGCCCGGGTCCAAATACGCCTATGCCTGCTGGCAAGAGTACACTCTTGCTGCTGGTTATGAAGCTAAAGTATCAGATTATGGTACAGCTAAAGTAGTGCAAGCTGAGAATACTGGTACTGTTATGCCAGGCAATGTTGCATATGCTGCACCAGAAGCTCCTATTCCTGATCGACACAGTCCAGCAATGGATGTCTACAGTTACTCTGTTCTCCCGAAGGCTTATGGAAATGAACTTGTGCTCTCGACCAGAAATCATTGACGACAGCAGAGAGAGATGTACAATCTGGTAGTGTCTCCTGGTCTGATATGAAGTCTCTCATACAAAGAGGACTCAATGCTAATCCTAGAGCTCGTCCTACTATGGCTCAAGTAATAGAGTCATTGAAAAGGATGAAGACTTGATTACTGAATTGTTTGTATATTGACCGTCAACACAACTCTCACCATACTTGTATTTTGGCTTTATGATTTAAGTATTGTCGGTATTAATAATATTGCTACCTTTTTCATCAATATTTTTGTGTATTTTCAGTTAATGTGGTATTAATTCAGGCTAAAGTCTGGTAAAAATTTCTAGTAGTATCACGTGATCCAGTGGCGGGCTAGTGTATAGTAGCTGGGGCTGGGCAGCCCCTGCATATGGCCATCAATTTAGGCCGAGAATTAAGCTGCTGTACCTAGTGGCTATGACGTCTAAAAGTAAGTGTTAATGTCACTATTTAGTATCATGTACTGTCATAGATCAGTTGAATAAAAGAGCTGCTCACCGCACTGTATCAGTAGGTGATTCACTGTATGTGTGGGCTGGTGCCCAGGATGGTTTACCCAAAATACATGATAGTGAAGAGAAGAGAAGGATCACTGGTAATGTACAGCACTTTACTCCTTCAACTGGTCAATGGATCACTAGAGGTACTACTGGCACTCCTCCATTAGGAGTGAAATCGTACTGCTGTACTGTAATAAATGATCAATTGTATTATTTTGGGGGCTTTTGTGGCCATGATGACTGCTATCACAACAGTATTATACAACTGGATACCGCTAGTTTTCAATGGAGAGAATTAGAAGCGACTGATGCAACTAGACCAGTTATGATGAGGGGTAGTGGTGTAATGATATCATTTGAACATGATGGAGTGCACCATTTATTGATGATAGGAGGGGCAGGATCTAAACCAGCGGTACAACTACCTCATTATAAATATATTAAGTTATCTAATAGAGACTGGCGTACTAATGAGCACTCGATATATAATCTGTCGTCAAGTAAGATTCTATATAACTGTTTGAAATTATATTACTCATAATAATTTAGGAAAATGGAGTAATCCTTTAATCATTGGTCAGTGTATACCATCTGCTAGTGGCTTTATCATTGAAAAGATCAATAACACGAGAGCTGTACTGTTTGGTGGAGTAGAGATTGATGGTGATAATAAGGCTACTATTACTAACAAGATTTATATATTAGAGATATCGATCAGCAGTGTGGTATGTTAAATTATGTGTACTGAATATATGCACACACACACACACACACAAACCCACTTACAACAATGGTTACATGTACAGTAATGAGTAGACCAGTTGACGCTAAGTATATTCATAGTGATACCATAAATAAAGTAAAATTTTCCTGCTGCCATTTGGAGTCCTAGTTCCAATGGTTGTCTATGGAGTAATCGTGAAAAGAGCTTATTCTCCAAAAACTGCTATATTTATTCGTGACAACAATCTTGCTACTGCTTACTGACCATCATCCAGTGTCTATAGTTGGCTTACAGACTTTAATAAGTGCCACTAAGACATATAGAAGCAAAGATATTGCTTTTTTCCATTCTACTTTTAGTAAACTATGACTCCAAAATGGTGGCAGGAAAATTTTACTTTATTTATTATGTACATGTAAACACGGCATGGCTCACACCACCACTTGGTCTCAGCAATTGCTACCTACACTCCCAGAAGAACTACATGTACATGTACATGTAGGTGAGTTACCATCTACACATGTACAAACAAAGACCTTATCCATAAAACCACAGAGCCTATATACCAGTTTTACACATGCATGTACGCATATACCGGTGTGCTACACAAACTTGGTATTAGCTTATAAGATCAACTCTAGTTTAGAATTACAAGAATTACCTAAAATTTGTGTGACCTGACTGAAGTGGATTTGGCAGAGCAGGGAGAGTTGGGTACCCTGCCGTATTCAAAAAAATGTTTTAACGCCGCATCTGGTTATCATCAAGGCCAGATTGCCGGTCTCTTTGGAGGGTCACATGAGAAAAATCACACCTCTAACCATAATGACTAACACACATGAGCAAGCAACAATAATAGTAACAAAATTTAAGTAGTAGCAAATGTAGCCAAGCCACATAAGCAGAACTGGGGCAAAAGACCATGTGATGGTGACAACAAGGGTCAATCAGGGACGGATCTAGGATTTAATTTTGGGGGGCAATTATCTATGAGATGGGTGGGATAATTACAGGGTGTGGTCAAGTAAACTTGTGCAGAACTAGTCTCGCAGGGCTAGACTCAATTTTTAGAATAGAGTCTGGTTTCATGCCTAACATCAACTTGTGCTTGTCTGGTGGAATTGGTTGACCTAATC